AATATTAAATCAGTCAGTCAGCTACAACGTAGGACCAGGCATATATATGCATCAGTCCAAGTTGCCATACCTCATTAGTACAACAAGATGAACACCAAATTCATAGACTCAGTTAATTCAGTGATGGTAATATATAAAAGAAAGAGTGCCTATAAGGATATAGTACAGTAAGAAAGAATTAGTTCGTAGAAAGAAAGATATAAAGCAATTTTAATCTCATAATTTAAGGGAAGACAGAGTGTATATACCGACGCCATTGTGATTGATTCTGAATCATGTCACCCAGTCTCCAACCATTGGTTATGATAGTCACGCGGACCCCAACCAAGTAGTCTGTATCTACCAACATCACTCAGACCAGAATTTAGTGACTTCAAGCACTGATGCCAAGTGAATTATCTAGGACTTTAAACAAATTTCAGTAATTCGACAAAACAACAGATACAATTTTGAATAAAAAGTAAGATGAAACACGTGTTTTAGATCTTACAGCAGTTATATACTTCAGGAAACGATATTAGGATGTATCTTTCAAAAATCCAATCCAGGAACAATAAATAATCAGTTAGTCTCGTTAAATAAATTACTAACTGTTTCAAATCGGTGCATTGATGAGTAATGTAATTGAAGATATAACGGGAACTATACCAAGTCAATAGATTTTAAACATTATTGCCAATTACTAAACAAAATTGACGCAATGAAGTACGAAGTAATTCCATAACTTAGCAAATCATTTATATCTATTGGTTATCGTTGTTTAATTGTACGATATTTACAATTGATTGATCAATCTTGTGTATATCAGGTCCTTCTTGGTGCGAATCGAATCCTATCGACCAAGCTGAGTGAAATAGGATCGAATCCGTCAGGGAACATCAGTTCCCTTAAGATTACAAATACACCATGCTGACAAGTGCCAAGTAGCATGAAATTAGGTTTAGGGTTATTTCTTTCCTACCTCTTATTGTATGATATTGTGTATTTGTATTCATACAATATGTTATGAAATAATGACTGTCAATTACTGTTTAGTTTAATTCATATAAATCTGTCAATTTCTGATTCATTTCACACGACAAATAGATCCTTAATTATTGTTATCTTTATGCTACCATTTACATTGTTCGACTAATGATTCGCCTAGTGAACACATATTAAATATTATCCACCGATAGAAGAAAAACATAACAATTGACTCTCATTGAAAAATTCATTACTATTAAAATATGATAGATTGATTGATTAGAAATTATGAGATTCACCATAAGTATACTACTGATGAAGGGTTTCATCATGAGGTGAAACATTTTGAATTAATCGGATTATTCAAATAAAGCATCATATTTTTCATTGTGAAACACTTTTTCTATCATATTGATGAACATCTATTGTTGATAGTAGAGATAAATGAGGCATACTTCCCAAATCTTGGGAGAAAAAAGAAACAACATACAACCATTCTAACATAAGTGACTAATAAACTCCTCTTTAAAGTGACGTTCTAATAGGTTGATATTATAAGTGAAATGTATTATCAGTTAGTCAATGAGGCAATCACAAATAACTATGCTTACATTTGTAGTATTAACCTAACAAATTAAAAATAAATGAATCAGTACTCAATAAACAATCAATTGTAAATGGAAATTAGTATTACAGAAGGTTACTCTTGGTCAGAAGGACCCAATGTTAACATCTTTGAATGTAAAGATCGTGGTGACAAGAAATGAAATTAGTCAAAGAGCATCACGTCCTTCATAATTACAAGTAAATATTAATGACACAGTGAACTAGAGTACACAACACAATATAACGGCAGGAATTTGATCAGCAAGAAGATACAATTGGTATACAAAAAATACTATGGAGTGAAAACATGTATGAAAATTTGATAAAATAATCTCATGAAAAATGCTAAAATGTCATACAAATAACGGTTGGAAATCAGTAGAAAGAAACATGCGATTATCAATTCGAATCTCTAGTTAGTCAGCTACAACGTAGGACCAAGCACACATCTGCATCGGTCCAAGTTACCATATCATATTAGCACAACCAGAACACTAAAATCATAAACGTAGTTAAGTCAGTGGTCGTAATATATAAAAGATTCCATATAGCGACATAGTACAGGAAGAAAGAGTCCCCACAGCATATACGAGAAGACCGTAAAATTACAAAGACAAACAAGAAAGTGGTAACAGTATCAGTGAGAGTACGAAACACTAGACATGAACGTTATGACTCGAATAGAAGGAATGAAATCGCAGCATAAAATAGTTTGCAAATTCAATGGGTAAGCAAGCCGTCAACCCATCTACATGAACCATTGCGACTGATTCTCAGTTGTCATTCAACAATTCTAATCGTTGGCCACGATAACCACTCGAACCTCAATTAGGTAATCTACACCTACAAGTTAAACTCAGTCCAACACTCAGTGAATTCATGGAATGCTACCACATTTGAATTAGCACACACCTAGCATTCTTCAACAACACCTACATAACAATCCACATATAAATGTGAGGTGAAAGGAGGCTCAGTTACAAGATAAAACGTGGCCAATTAAGCTTCACTACAGCACCAACATTGTCAACCAACTTTCAGATTTACTCATGACTCTGAAACTCGCCTCAATATTGCCCACTCGAGTAAAGTTCAAAATAAATTATAGAGTATATGGACAATGAATTAACAATAGTCTGTACAGTTTCATCACCAGTACTCTGAAATCCTCAAAATACAATCAAGTCTAGAAATTAAATGCTTACAGATTTATTATAATAATCCATTGGGATTATCAGACAGTAAGCACAAATTCCCATTTCTAGTACTATTAAAAAGACAGTTCACAGTGAAAACCTGGTGATATATTCGTACAGTAGACATTTCCATCAAAGATCACATACATACTCAAGGCATTTACACATACACAGCGAGAAGAAACAATAAATATCAACCGATTAAAAGACGAAATGAATCCGAAGTGATAAATGAAAATCGGAGAATGAGTGGATTATAAGACAATGTGCACAAATATAATTTGTCCTAAACTTGCATCCCATAACCTGATGAATCAACTTCAATGCTTAGAATGATATAAAAACTCATTTTATCGACATCATACAACGCTCTCTCTCTCTCTCCGCTGTTCACAATGACAGCGCATTACAATTACTCATCCTTCGTTAGCTTCCATATATAAATGACAAATATACGCATCATCATGTAAGGTGGCAGCCGAAAGCAGTCGGCAGGATCCCCAGCTTAACCTAAGTCCAGTGATATCTCACACCTTCGAACAAGGTGTGCCTGCTATCTTGAAGGGACTGATGCTCCCTAACACATTCGATCTCCAGTTACAATTCAAAATCAAGGACGTTAGTACCACGTCATTCGGGTTGCCGGTGACTTTCTACTACACAGTGATCAATCAATTGTAAATAAATATGATCAAATTGTTATTCAGAGTGCATTGGGCAAATAAATAATATTCATTGTCGGATCAAATTGTCTTCTTACTTTGCGCTACCAAAGTTCGAAAAATAGACTGACTGTTTTGTTCGAATCTAAAACACTGCCGGTGACTTTCTTCAACATTACAGTTACACCTTGTTGAAGAGTACCATGCATCACAAAACCTAGGTCTAACGTCTCCTGACGACTACCTCTAAATACAATCCTGTTTTAATATAATGCACGCGATGTAGAATCACTTACAACAGTGACCACATTTAACCAGCACTAACAAAGATTTGACTCACATAACACTGATCACTACCCGGTGATCAATCAATAAATATGATCAGCTTGTTATTCAGATTGCATTGGGCAAATAAATAATACTTGTTGTCGGACCATACTGTCTTCTTACTTTGCGCCACCAAAGTTCGAAAAATAGACTGACTGTTTTGTTCGAATCTAAAACACTGGGCATTCAGATTCGGAAGAAGAGGCTTTAACAAGTGTCAAGATGTGGTAGAATCTCATTGCACTTTTCGGTGCACCAACAATATAATTTGGAAATACACCACATACTTAAGTGACAGCGTAGGTTACATAATTTTGACCATAGGTTTCCTGTATGTATTGCTTGTTTCGTGGTTAAGCATAGGATACTAGTCAAATGTTACAAATCGGCTAATGAGATAGTGAAGCGTCATCGATTGCCATGGCAAGGACCCAGTATCACAAGCCAGAAACTACATGGCATACAAATTACTGACAAATCAATCATAAGAGTTGTGATTTTCTGTACCTTTCAGGGAACCAACGAATAAACCATCGAAGACGAAGGGACGACACATAAGCAACAATATCATTCATGAAGATTAAGATACGAATTGTAAACACTCAACCACTACTGGAAATAAGCTTTGCAGTCAGTATCAAATATTACCGATCACCTTATTGATAAACGAACAACTGTCCACATAGTAACATAAACTACAGACTTCAGCTTTCTTTTCACATACGTTCCGCGATAAAAACATCCTCGTTAATTGTGTGATCCAAAGCATTTTCTTATCGAGTACAACGCGATCATAAGAGTAATAGGGTCATCAAAGTAACCAATAGGCAATCAAAAGAAGGCTCCATGTAATAAATGGAGATTTGATATTGACTAAATAGTTGCTCGTGCAACAACGCTGCTTAATAACAGTGTAACATTTTCTACCAGCACTTCCACTTAACTGCATAGATTGGAACGAATTCTAATCATAATACGAATTTCAGAAAAGTCGAAAGATAAATAATGATTCTGTTCATGACCCAGTACTATGAAGCAAATCCAGAGGCGTTAATCTCGTCAGCCAACGAAAGTCATACAGGGACGATGTTAAAACGGATGAATTAACAGTAGTTATATAGAGTAACTAAAGAACTATGCTTAGGATCGTCACTAAAAACCCCATACAAACTAATAAGCGTATTATGCTAACGAAAATACACGCCTTAACACGAGTAAACAGACTACTGAAAAACAAGATTAGACTGCCATAAAATCCGATACTCTCATTGATGCAATCTTGTTCCCAACATGAAATCACTCTTCCTTAAAGCAATCTCTTGAATAAACACAAGTTTTAATAGCTTTGGTCAAATATAAACAGATTACTAGATTCTGAGATTAGATGATGAGTATCACGAGCAGCAATTGCTCAAGTAATGAGTTTCTCGTAAAGTGAATTGATACAATTAAATATTTAAAAAATGAAAACGTCTGAGTGAACCAACCTGTACCGCCAACTGTCACTAAATACGGCACAAGTCTTGTTCGAAAAAAAAGAAGAAATACTCGTGACAACCTTAAGAGCATTTTCACAAACGCACAACTGACAAACCAGTAAGAATAGAATAAGAAAGTAAGGTTACTCGAGGGCTGAAAAAAATCGACCGACATTAAATGTAACACGTACGTCATCAATGAGTACAAGAAGAAAGGAGAAAATATGTCTATCGAAATGTTTTGTGTATTGACTGCATTAAGGTCCCATAGCATATTTCTGTGTCCACTCTCGAGCTAACTCATCATATTTCTTACGATCTGTTTTGTACTGACGTGCGACATCTGGGCATAGAGGATCATCTGGATTGGGGTCCGTCAATAGTGAGCAAATTGAGAGTAGAACTAATTTAAACACAAATTGAGTATTCATATACGAATGTATACCTTTCGATATTGTGAGGGCAGGAGACCATTGTCCACGGAGGATATCTAAACATATATGACCACTGAGATTTATATTCGGATGATATATTTTCGTCATGAAACTGATCTGTCACAAGGCTGGCTTGAGAGTGATACAACGCTTACCTTAGGGGGTTTGAAAGGGTAGTCTGTGGGAAACTGTATTTCCAGGAAGAATATCCCACCTTCATATGGACTATCAGCCTACAGGTACATTATTACGGAATAAACGAACATACAGGTCCCATAATAGTGGCTTGCCAGGCAAACACTAAATGTAAACTAATACAGCGTACATTGACTTACGATCATCTTTAATAGGTCCAGCTGAACACTGGGTTGGAGGATCAAGACGTAAGTCCTTTAGCTCCTAAATAAAGCGATTCTGCTGCACAAAAATATTGGACATGTCCTTACTTTAGATATACGCCTTAAGGCCATTTGTACAGCTGAGGAACAAGAAATTCGAAACTGCGCGGCAGAAGATCATGGTAAGCCCCAACGCCATTTTTCTCAATTCAATATACAGGATATTCGAAACGTGTTTATATGAGCCATTTGGTTTATTTTCACGGAGTTATCTCTCTAAAACACGGTTCTATTACAATAATAGAGTTCGACGAAGGTAGTTTAGTCACTCAAAAACACTAGTATAAGCTGATCTGCAGTTATTTGTAGGTTGACATATCGTTAGTACTAACTAATGCATCTGTCCCAGTCGTCTGGTCTTTAATTATCAAAAGTTAAGCAATAGCATTATATCAGAAGCCCTTGTAAATGTGATTTCAGCCCATGGCTATTGCGAAGAATCCCGGTACAAGTAAGGTACAGTTTTCATTTCATTGCTTCGTTTCACAACAACATTGACGTTATGGAAAAACATATTCTGCGAAATTTCTTTCACTATTGTGCACTTTCCATTCAGTGTCTCGGTAAACAATATGAGCAAAATAATATACTTGTTCATATTTGCTCACTGTTATTAATTGGTTTTATTGAAGTCTATCAATGAATATATCCCCAAAATCAGTTGTTCTGTAAATCCTCAACATTTGGTGCCCACTGCATTAGTTTCCACAGTCTCACCTAGCTGAAGGTGTTCGGTCACACATTCGAACCAGATCACGAGTAGATGCGCTGTATTACACATTCCTTTTAACCAGTATCTAGCTTTGACCCAAAGTTCCTCGATATATCTGTAAGCTTCAAAATATATATTCAAACTCCTTCATTCCTGACTTCTGATTTGACTGGACTGACATACTTCGGTCGCAAAGGTGTTACTGCTTAAGGCTTTGTCAAGCTCCTAATACTGTTGGCATCTTTAGTGGCAGGTTGTGCTTGTCCCATTCCAAAACAACGCTAGAGAACTGGCTGTATCTCGGCCATTCTGGATTACCCAGAACAGACCAAAATGAACAATTAAGTACGTTCAATGACCTGGTTAAATCCGCCTGGAGTCCCTCCGGGGTCTACTGCCGGTCCCAAGCCCGGATAAAGGAGGAGGGTTGGGCATGGGGTTAGCGTCCCCATCCCGTAGAAAACTAACTCGCTAAAAAAACGCTAACCAGAAAAAATTATTCAAACCTTTTAAACTCTGCCCTGGGAGTCAGAAGGTCTTCATTTAGAAGAATTATGACGCCTCATGATGAAAGCCGAATTCCTTCGGAAGTTACGAGGCCGATGCCCCTTCTGACAACCAGAGCGACCATTTATTTAGGTACATGGAATGTTCGTACAATGTGGGACACCGGAAGAGCCTTCCAAATTGCTGCAGAAATGAGAAGATACAACCTAGAGGTACTTGGGATCAGTGAAACACATTGGACACAAGTTGGACAACAACGACTAACTACAGGAGAGCTCCTGTTATACTCCGGCCATGAAGAAGAAAATGCACCACATACACAAGGAGTTGCATTGATGCTGTCCAAACAAGCGCAAAATGCACTTATAGGATGGGAATCTCATGGACCAAGGATCATCAAAGCCTCGTTCAAAACAAAGAAAGAGGGCATTTCAATGAACATCATCCAATGCTATGCGCCTACCAACGACTACAATGAAGACGCTAAAGATCAATTCTACAATAGGCTGCAGTCAATCGTCGAGAAGTGCCCAACAAAGGACCTGACCATTCTGATGGGAGATTTCAACGCCAAGGTTGGAACGGACAACACTGGATATGAAGACATCATGGGACGACACGGACTGGGAGAAAGAAACGAAAATGGTGAGAGATTTGCAAATCTATGTGCCTTCAATAAGCTGGTCATAGGCGGCACCATATTCCCACATAAACGCATACACAAAACCACATGGACTTCACCGGATCACTATACACAAAACCAAATCGACCATATTTGCATCAACAAAACGTTCAGGAGGACTATAGAGGACGTGAGAACCAAGAGAGGAGCTGATATAGCATCAGATCATCACTTGCTGGTCGCCAAGATGAAATTGAAACTCAAGAAGCACTGGACAACGGGGCGGACAATATCACAAAAGTTCAATACGGCCTTTCTTCAGGATACTAACAAACTCAACAAATTCAAGATAGTCCTCAGCAACAAGTTCCAGGCCTTTCATGATCTACTCAATGGAGAAGGAACTACTGTGGAGAGCAACTGGAAGGGGATCAAAGAGGCAATCACTTCAACATGTCATGAGGTCCTGGGTCACAAGAAGCACCATCACAAGGAATGGATCACTGTTGATACACTGGATAAGATTCAAGAAAGGAGGAACAAGAAGGCAGCAATCAATACCAGTCGAACAAGAGCAGAAAAAGCCAAGGCACAAGCTGAATACACAGAAGTAAACAAACAAGTGAAGAGGAGCATCAGAACCGACAAACGTAAATATGTGGAAGATTTAGCAACGACGGCGGAAAAGGCTGCAAGAGAAGGAAACATGAGACAACTGTATGACACGACAAAGAAACTCTCTGGAAATCGCCGCAAACCAGAACGACCAGTGAAAAGCAAGGAAGGCGAGGTAATCACCAACATTGAAGAGCAACAAAACAGGTGGGTAGAACACTTCAAAGAACTCTTGAATCGACCAGCTCCACTGAACCCACCCAACATCGAAGCAGCACCCACGGACCTCCCAATCAATGTTGGCCCACCAACAATTGAAGAAATCAGCATGGCCATCAGACAAATCAAGAGTGGCAAAGCAGCAGGACCGGACAACATCCCAGCAGAGGCACTAAAAGCAGACGTAGCGGCAACTGCAAGGATACTCCACATTCTCTTCAATAAGATTTGGGATGAGGAACAAGTACCAACAGACTGGAAAGAAGGACTTCTGATCAAAATACCGAAGAAAGGCGATCTCAGCAAGTGTGATAACTACAGGGGCATCACTCTTCTCTCAATACCGGGAAAAGTCTTCAACAGGGTATTGTTAAACAGGATGAAGGACTGCGTAGACGCCCAACTTCGTGACCAACAGGCAGGATTCCGTAAGGATAGATCGTGTACAGACCAAATCGCAACTCTACGGATCATTGTGGAACAATCAATTGAATGGAATTCATCACTCTACATCAACTTCATTGACTACGAAAAGGCATTTGATAGCGTGGACAGAACAACACTATGGAAACTTCTTCGACACTACGGCGTGCCTCAGAAGATAGTCAATATCATACAGAACTCATATGATGGATTACACTGCAAAATCGTGCATGGAGGACAGTTGACAAAGTCGTTCGAAGTGAAGACCGGTGTTAGGCAAGGTTGCTTACTCTCACCCTTTCTCTTTCTCCTGGTGATCGACTGGATCATGAAGACGTCAACGTCTGAAGGGAAGCGCGGGATACAATGGACATCTAAGATGCAGTTGGACGATCTAGACTTCGCAGACGATCTGGCCCTTCTATCCCAAACGCAACAACAGATGCAGGAGAAGACGAACAGTGTGGCAGCAGCCTCAGCAGCAGTAGGTCTCAATATACACAAAGGGAAAAGCAGGATTCTCCGATACAACACAGAATGCACCAATCCAATCACAATTGACGGAGAAGATTTGGAAGATGTAAAAACCTTTACATATTTGGGCAGCATCATTGATGAACAGGGTGGATCTGATGCAGATGTGAAGGCGCGGATCGGCAAAGCAAGAGCAGCATATTTACAACTGAGGAACATCTGGAACTCAAAGCAACTGTCAACCAACACCAAGGTCAGGATTTTCAATACAAATGTCAAGACAGTTCTACTGTATGGGGCAGAAACCTGGAGAACTACGAAAGCCATCATCCAGAAAATACAGGTGTTTATTAACAGTTGTCTACGCAAAATACTTCAGATCCATTGGCCGGACACTATTAGCAACAACGTACTGTGGGAGAGAACAAACCAGATCCCAGTGGAGGAAGAAATCAGGAAGAAGCGCTGGAAGTGGATAGGACACACATTGAGGAAAGCACCCAACTGCGTCACAAGACAAGCCCTCACATGGAATCCTGAAGGCCAAAGGAAAAGAGGAAGACCAAAGAACACATTACGCCGAGAAATGGAAATAGACATGAGAAAAATGAACAAGAATTGGATGGAACTAGAAAAGAAGGCCCAGGACAGAGTGGGTTGGAGAATGCTGGTCAGCGGCCTATGCTCCATTGGGAGTAACAGGCGTAAGTAAGTAAGTAAGTAAGTAAGTAAGTAAGTAAGTAATGACCTGGTTGGTGTCTTTCGACGATTTGCACTAAACAGAGCGTCTCTTATGGTAACCCTAAACGCCGAACTTCGCGGAAATGAGAAATACATCAATACAGACGACATCGCCAAAGAAGCATTCTACAGTTTAGGAGCTCACACTCTATGTAACATTGCTTGCACATTACGACACCAAAACATCTATTGGCATTGCGATAAAAGCATTCGACTGCGCAGTCAGAGGAGTCTTACAACAATGGGTTAAAGAGATATGGCAGTCTTTGGAATTTTCACTAGTTAGTATCTAGACACGGAATCGAGGTATAACACTTTCATTGAGGAAGTTCTAGCTATGTGTTATGCTTCACGGCACTCTCAACGCTCTATCGAAGGCTAAGAATTCAATCTTTCCACCGATCTCATGCCTCTCAACTTCTCTTTAGGCTCATCTTCAAACAAGTACTCCCCTCGAGAGTCTCGATAAGTGGACTACATTTCGCGGTTTACTTCAGATATACAGCACATTCCTGGGGAAAACGATGTAGTTGCAGGCACATTGTCTTGTATAACTTTCTTGAACAGTTTCCAGGGAGTCGACCTTCTTAGACTCGCCCAGCTTCAAAAAGAAGACACTGGTCTTCAGCACAATTTATCCTCAGCAATTTAAAACTGCATACTAAACAGATGGAGGTATTATCTAACA